ATGTTGACTCTGCTGTTCATGAGTACTGTCATCACACAATTCAGTTTCCTTAACTCTGCCCTCACAGCAAGAAAAGGAAGCTGTATGGGAGAGTGAAAAATTACCCAGTGCAGTTCTGGATGCGAACATCACAACAGTACTGACTTTCATCTCAGCCATCTTCAAGCCTGCTGCAAACCACCCCAATAACTACCTTGAGCCCATCTTATCTCCCTTATCCCCAACTTATCCCTCCTCTTAATTAGTGTTTGATATCACAAACTATCTACCCCTTCTCAGACCAATCACAGAACCAGTTTGGGGCTTTGCCTCCTGTTAGCTGGAGAGCTGAGACTGAGATGTGCATGGTCACCCTAGAGTCTAGTCAGATCACTAGACTGATCACTGCATTTCTGAAGGCACTCTTTGAGCCCAGATTGGCAAACAGACCTAGTTTTATCTTGGTGAAAAATGGATCCTCCTTCCCTTCCCCTGCCAAAACTTTTCCTGTGTTCTGTTGGTGATAGAAAACCAAGGAAAATGCCAGATTTCCCAACCTGGTCCCCTTTTGGGAATGGTTATGAGAACTTCCCCCATGAAAGGAAATATTTAAAGGAGGAATAATACATTTCATCTATCCCAAAAGAGGTAACTTATTTATAATGGCTGTACACAGCATTACAGCCCCTACAAATAAGCTGTCCACAATATGAGAGAGATATGGCCTTCAAACTTCAGGCCAATCAACAGGTGAGAGTTTTTATGAAACAGAAACACAGTCTCCATTATAGGTGCAGCCAAATCCCTCTAAACATTCAAGCCTCTTTCTTTAAATCTTTTTTAGCCCTTTGCTCCTTGAATGAATTCTGCCATCTCCATCTTCTCTTGGATACTTTCCATCTGTAAGCTTCCCAGTCAGTCTGTGACTACCACCAATAACATGCCAGAGGCAACTATAGCTCCAACCTTTCAAGAAATCTAGGACAACGCCTATAAAGATACAAGGAGGAGAAGAGAGTATTGATGAGACATAGTGGGTACCTTTCGCTAGTCTTTGTGCAGCATCCCCAACCTGAGGAATGGGGAATGAGGCAGTTCTGATTTTCACCTTGGTTGGAGAGGGAAAGGACCACTTTTTTTGGTCCGACTTGATACAAAGGGGAAAAACTGGCCTGAGGTCCTGGTCCCCACAGCCCGTAATACAAAGGGGACAAACCATTAAAACACTGCCTCGAGGAGTTTTCCTCTTGGGAAATTCAAGGTCACACTCAAGAGATTGAGGGCCTGTCCTGGTGCCCCATGGGAACAAGTGCTTTCTGCCGTCTCCTGCAGGGGTTCCTGTGCACCCCACTGCTTGTTGAGGCTGCCAGGGGGTAGGCTGGGGGGAGCAGGCTGTCCTGCCCAACAAAAGAAAGCAGTGGAGATGGGCATATACCCTTCATCCCCTGCCCAAAGCCCCTCCCCCTGCAGTCACTAGCTGCTAGTCCGGTGCTGCTTTAGCACTGTATACACATCATCCACTTTGCTGAGTCTTTCAAAGAATGGCAACAGGTCAAGAAGCTCCGTGTCAGCCATGTTGTCAAACCACGAAGCCACAGGCACCTGTGAGGGTAGAAAAAGAGAAGAGGTAAGAAGGCTGATGGCTATCTGTAGTTAAGATCTGGCTACCACTGGCGTTACCTCTAAGTGATTGCTATTAAAAGGTGGCTAGGAAGCAAGAAGACTTCTTTAAGCACCTGCCTCTCTTGCAATGTGAGGTGTGGCTTATCAACAGCTTCTGCACAAACAGGAGTTCCACTGCAGAGATAGATGCATTTTCCTGTCTAAAGAAATTTTGTATAGCAGCATCAGGTGAAGGATCTCTGTAAAACAATATTCTATCCTGAAGGAATCCCAAGGCCAAACTACATAGTGAGTGGCAGATCTGTACACTGGATCCACCTCCATCATGCAAAAAATAAAAGGGGGGGGGAGGATTCCTGACTTCCTGGCAATCTGTCACTCCTCAAGATACTTTTGCTATCCGATAATCCCTCCAGAAACAAGCTAAGCTGGGAAAGATACATTTAGCAATAGGGGTAACCAGGAGGTAAGCAGTGAACACAGAGAGTTACTACATTCATATCTCTCCTGTCTTCCACCATGCACAGGGCGAAGTAATCTAGATAATTCTACTTTTGCTGGCCAACCAAAATTCACAATATACTTGTTGCAAGCTTTCAAAGCTCCATGGGCTTCTTCATCAAGCAAGATGTTACAAACAAAACAGGAGAAAGACAACTGGACGTGTTAGTCAGATGCCTACGTGTTTCAGGCTTTAGTTAAGATGGTATATGGTGCGGATCCCCACCACATATCATCTTAACTAAAGACTGAAACAACATGTAGGCATCTGACTAATATCTCCAATTGTTTTGCCCAAAGCTTTAGATCCAGAAGACAGAGGTGGGCCTTCTGAGAAGAAAAATAAGGGCAGGTAAAGTCTTCTAAGGTCTGGTGAAAGGTGGGGTGCTGCTCCTAGCTCTGAGGTAGTTGCCTGCCCCTGCTGTAGGAATTCTGCTCAATCACATAAAGAACAGAGAGGAGTTGTGTGCCCATGGTTTCAAATCAAGAAACAGTCTTTGCCAGTTCTCCCCATAGCCTGTGTGGATTTCAAGGATGCAGTGACAGGGCAGGGCAAATAAGCATGTTCCCATATGCTTTCCCTTCACACAGCCATTAACCTTGTGAGGAAAAATTCCTGAACAGGGCTAAAGTGTCCTCACCATTCTGAGTTACACCTAACTTCAGCACTGGTTGTACTTCACTCTGTGTGCCACAATCTGTGTACAAAACGCTGCAAGGTCACATAAAGGCATCCCCTGAGCTGGCAAGAATGCCAGCCAGCCACCCAACAAACCTCCTTACTGAGAAGACAGCTACAAGGCAATACAAAATGAAAAGTTTTTCACAGTATGGGATTCACAGTTAACTTGTGCCAGGTAGGGAGTTGCCCTGCCTTTGTCCTGTTCTGAAATCTCATCTTTTCCCACCTCATTCAGGTAGGCTTGCATACAGCTTTACATAATCAAGTGGAGGCAATGAGCCTCCCAAATAAAAACTGCCACTTCCATCTATGCACCCCAAAGAAATTAGACAGTCTGCTGCTACCTAGCTGCTACTCACGGCATTATCAGGGTGGAAGACATAGGAAGCAGGGGAATTGTCCACAATGATGATACGCGTCAGGTCCCGTCCAAGGCGGCTGAGGTCTTTGACATAGTTCCCACGGTGGAAGACGCAAGACTCACGGAAGAGACGGGCCCGAAAAGCCCCCCACTTATCCAGCAGGTCAGCCACAGGATCTGCATACTGGGTGTGGGGTGAAAGGTGTGATGGTGAAGGTGAGACAGAAATCTACCTGACTACACTCAACAAATGTATTGTGAGGCAGGGAGGTTTTCATTATTCCTCTTTTTCCCTCCACATGTCTGATATTCCCTTACAGTTTCTCCCATCCCAGCAGGTAAGGGTACTTCTTCCCAGGATGCTTTTTGTTGTTGAGAGAGGAGACCAAGGTCCAAGAAGGGAGAAGGCCTACAAGCAAGTGCAGGTAAGGAAGCGATTTACCTTTTATTAATCAAGCTGAGAAAATGGCTGCATCTACACCACTGAAATAATGCAGTTTGACACCATTTTAACTGCCATGGCTCAATGCTATGGAATCTTGGGATTTGTAGTTTGTTGTGGTACGAGAGGTCTCTGATAGAGAAGGCTAAATATCTCACAAAACTGCATTACTTCTTTGGTGCGGATGCAGCCAACGGCTTCCTTACAACTAACATCCAAACAGGTTGTCTTCTTCCTGAAGAAATCATCATGCAGCCCCATGCATAGCTGGGCAGTTAAACCTTTTCTACTACCACAGCCACAAAGGTGGTTAGATTTAAGGTTTTTTGAACCTGCTTCTTCCTACAGTCCCAACCAAGCCTGTGAACTTGTTTTCAGTACAAGGATTTTGCTGAGCTCACAGTCCTTTCATAGAAATGTCCACTGGTGTTTGTCACAAACCCTCTTCATTTCAGTCCTCTTAACTTAGGTGGGAAAAGTTGTTTTGCTGCTATTGCCTTTGGTAGTGAGATGTTCTTTCTGAACTGTTCTAATTCACCTAGAGCTTAATAGATTAGTAAACTGAGAGCAGTGGTGACTAGTGGGATAATGAACCTAATGGCGGGAAGGGTTAGACTGAAATTTAAAGGCGTGATCCAAGATGCTGAACCCTAGCCCCAAAATAGATTGAACAGTTTGGGTGGCTTCTCTACAGTTCAGGCTAAAGCCTACAGTGGATGCACTGTCCCACTAACATGCAAATCACTTTTCACCACAGGGTAATGGACGCAGGGAGTCGGGTTTCTAGGTCCTATTCTGAGTTCTGAGTGTGGTTGGCAATCCAAAAACACAGGTGTGCAAATGCACAGGGTACTGACATTTCAACCCTCCCTGGCATGGCCTGTCTTCTCAGAAAGAGTTTCCCATGCAAAGAAAATGCTGGTGAGGAGTATCTTACCTTTGCTAGACTAGCAGTGAAGAGCACACATTCAAAGAGCTCACCCATCCGGCGTAGGAATTCATCCACATGGGGTCGCTTTAGTACATACACCTGGGGAGATGGAGGGAGAGTATGGAGAGAAGGTCACAGAGATCATCATGCTAGTAAATCCAGCCATGGATCAATCCACATCCCATTTGGATAACTGTAATATCCTCTATATGGGGCTGTCTTCAGAAATTGTCAGTAAACTTCAGCAGGTCCAAAATGCTGTGGCCAAGCTGCTGACCAGGGCTGGTTACATGGATCATATAATTCCTTTGTTGAAACAGCTTTATTAGCTACCAGTTTGTTTCTGGGAAGAATTCAAAGTGCCGGTTATGACACCTTAAATTCCTATATGGCTTGGGTCCAGACTATATGAAAGATCTTATCTCCTGATACAAGCATGCCTGATTTTTTATAAGTATTTTTATTAAGCTACATATAGAGAGCCTGCATAGTGCAGTGGTTTGAGTGTTGGACTAAGACTCTGGAGACCAGGGTTCAAATCCCCACTTGGCCATGGAAATGTTATCTTGGTCAAGTCACATTATCAGTCTCAGAGGGAGGCAAAGGCAAACCCCCTCTGAATAAATCTTGCCAAGAAAAGGGGTAGAAGGATATTTTAATCTGGTATACTGTGCCTTTTAAAATTATGTTGAAATGTATTGTAAACTGTTTTAACTTAATGCTGTTAATATAATTATTTATTTACATGCTTCAAAACATCTGTATAAGAAAATTTTAACTGTAGTCTATTTTAATTTGATGTAAGCTGCCTTGGGTCCTATGTCAGAAGAAATATGGGATATAAATAATTCAATCAACCAATCAGTCCATCAATCAAATAAATAAAATCCTACCTTCTTACCCAGAAAAGAGCTTGGCAACATGTTGTGCTGCTCCCTTCTTGGATGGGATGGGGAAAGCCCCTCTCTGATGCGGCAACAAAGGTTGGCTGGTAGAAAAAGTTGCTCAGGGAACCAAAGATATCCAAAGATGCCTTTTACCTGGTAAGAGTGTTTATCTATCTGGACTACTTGTGGAAAATGTATGACCCATGACATTTTATGTGGCGTTTGATGTCTCTGCTTCCTCAACATGCTTGCTGCCAGGTTGGATCCAGTCATTCAGACACTGTCCCTTTTTGTAATGAATGCAGTTGTGAGAGAGAGGCAGAGAAGGTTGTTTGTTCCCATTGCCACTCTTTCTCCAGAGCTTTAGGCAGAAGATTTTCTAACCATTTGCTATAATTACTATTAATCTGAAAATTAATTTGTGGATCTGTTTACTAAACATTCAAAAAAACAATTTGTTGCTTTAATTATTGAAGAATCAACTTAAATTATAAAAAATGGCTCCAACCCCCCTTTCAATGGTAACAAATCAAACTAAGGTGAAATGGGAATAATTAAAACAATAAAAATATAATTTTAATGATTTTAAATGTTAAGACATCATGAGTAAGAAATCAAATTTAAACAAGTTAAATCTAAGCTTTGGGGATGGTTCTGCTCACTTTGGTCTCCAACCCTGCTTACTGCTGCCATGCATCCCCCAATGAGGAATGAAAACAATAATCAGAAATACTCCAAAATGGTCAAAAACCATGTTTCTCAAGTGTCAGGAAACAAGAAGAATCCAAGACAGATAAGAATCTTCACAGTTCAGGACTTATTCTGCACAAAGTTCACCCTGTGCAGAAATGCTGTTTTCTGTGCAAATCCCTCCCCCAACAACAATAACCTTCTGTGAATTTTTTGTAGAATACATCTCCAGTTCCAGCCTCTTCTGCACAGAAAATATTTCGGCACTGTTTTTTGCACATAAAATGTTATTTTCTATGCCAAAAAAACCACAAACTAACAATTTGCTCTGTTTGTAAACAGAAATACATTGAGATTCTCACCCAAATCTCTGCTAGAGATGGAAATTCTGTACTGCAAAACATGATCACACTGAACTCTCACTGTCCTGTCTATAAGCGTGACAAGCATCAGAGGCACTTCGGAGCTACAGTGGGAGAACATGATCTTTGAAAAGGACAATATAAAACTGATCAGATACCAGGTTTCTGTGTTTGAAAACAAACTGAAAACAAATAATAGGAATGAGCTACTGTGGCAGACTAGGGAGATCAAGAAGTAATACAAGATGAAGGAATGTTGCAAAATATTTTTTCAGGATTCATAGGTCAGATTGCTTTTAAAGGCTACTTGCTAAGTATAAGACCCCCAACTCTAGAGCCTTGGTCATCCCAAGAGAGGCTGCTTTAAAACTAGAATTTTCCTAGGATATGCTGTTTACACCAATTACACTGTGGCTGACTCATCAGCAAGACCTCCTTGGTTTAAAGGGTAAGCAAAGAAGAGATTCCTCTCCTTCACACATTTCAACAGGGGGCAGTCCACATGCCACCTGAGACACTGCAACTCTTGAGATACAAAATGGCATGGCTGGGCTGGGACATCCTGGAGTCCATGCAAGGAATGTGAGAAAATGTGCTCAGCTGGTCAAGCTCCTCTTCAGCACAGCCACTCTGACAGATGCCATGGGTTGCCTCCAAGGCCAAGTAATCAAGAACAGGCTGACTGCAGGACCCACAGCCTATCCTGGATTACTTGAAAATGGCCACAGTCCTGTTAAGTAAAGACGATAATCACAGCAGATACTGGAAAGTCCAACTGCATCTTCAGCAACAACTGACCCCCAGCTTGTATTTAGGTGGAATCATTCCCATCCCCTTGAGTGCTGCATTCCAGGGCTACATCCTTTGGCAATTCAACCACCACCAGTTCAGGAGAGCATTTCCAAACCCACAGGCAAGAGCCTCTGTCCCTCTCCTCCCATCCTCATGGTTCCATACCTGGTGCATGACCCCATCAATCTCCACGGGGATGATGAAATCTGCATTGTTCACTGGCTGGGAGGGACACAAAGAGAATCATTTGGTCAGAGCTCAAGAAGGTTCTTCGGCTTTTCCCACCTGCCCTAACTACCATCCCTAATCCTCATCCAGCTGGGCTACTTTGGCAGCAGCTTCATCAGGTTTCTGGGAAGAGGCAGAAAGTTACCATTTTGGAGTACAACTCCTAGAATACCCTAACCAGCATGACCATGCAGGCTACAGAATTCTGTAAGTTATAGTCCAAACTGGTAAGTTTCCCAGGTCTTGGAACAAGGCTGGCTTCAGATCTCTGTCTTGCACAGAGGTAAGCCATGCCTGCACTTCACTCCTCTCTCTGCCAGGGCCCAGTCATACCACTTGATCCTAGCTCACACACTTATGGCAGAAAGAACTGTCCAAAGTGGGATCCTTTCTTGTAGAGTTGTAGATCAAGCTTCTCTGTGCAGCTATAAAAAGTGCTGATGGCAACTGGGATACCATAGCAGCTGACAAGGAAGCATGTAATCTGGACAGCTATTTCTGAGTAGAAAATAGAGGGCCTTTGGTTTCTGCTGAGGTTTGGTTCCAGGATGCTCTGTGATAGAAATGTCTGGAGATACTCAAGTCCTATTAAATACAGTGGCATAGTAAAATGGTTCCCTTATATGAAATGGCAAAATTCAGGTTTGCTTTTTGGAATATATATATATATATATATATA